AAATTTAATTTACGACATTACATTTATCTGATGAGATAAAAATTAATTTTACAACTCCAATATTGTGATTAGAAATTTAAAAAAAAATGTGTAGAATACGTAGAAGTCTTGTAAAAATGATAACGTTTTAGACTTTAATTTGTAATAGAAATACGATAGTGAATACAAATGAATATTTTGTGGGATAATTTAGAGGCTGATTGAAAAAAGAAATTGAGAATATCATGTAAGTATATGTAAAGTTACTTATATGGTAACTTCAAAACTGAATGATCTACGTAATTTCTTATAAAAAATTTATACAACAATTTCTCTAGTTCTGTCTTGTTTTCTATATACCTTGAATTTCATTGTAAAAAAATCTACTATAAAATATAGTGATTTCAAGATGCTAACACAATCAAGCATATTGAAACCAGATCTAGCGGTCTAACAGTTTGGTGACAAGAGCAGAAATTGAGGTGAGGTGAAAATGAATTAAGTGATGCTTCGATGGAATTTGTTTAAAGATTATAATTAGCGTCATTTACATTCTAATTTGATTTATTCTCCAACATGGTCTATATTTTATATGAAATTTTATAAAAAACATGTTTTAAAATACTATAAACGCCTCATTAATATTCAAATAAAGATATCTTTAAAAAAATCCTTATCGTATTCGGGTAATAAATCTAAGAAACAAATCGCAATTTCAAGTTTATCATTTTATAACGGTCGTGAGATATTACCTGCTAAATAAAATTACGGCAAAAAAACAAGTCAAATAAGAGGCCGACGTTCCGTCTGGTTCGCTCGCATAAAACAAATAAAATGTAAAAAAGGTGAGCGATGCATTAAGTGCATATAAACATGTTGCTGCAGTGTCAATATTTGCGGACCTTTTCCCATGGGAACAGCCGCACCGCGGCCGCGAAGACGCGCTAAATCATTGCCACTCTCGCCATCGCGACTCTTTACTTTTTTTACCATTGAAATGTCAATTTCTTTACAATATCCCGAGAGCTCGTTCGCCTAAAATCAATTAAGAGTCACCTTTGATTTGGTTTCGCGGTGGCCCTGCGGTTTTGCTTTTTTCCTAGTCCTTTTATTGTGGACCATAATGAGTTTCAGCAGGACTCGGACTTGTATTTCATTTTACTTTAACATTTTATTTCATTTTAATTGGTAATGGAACTTTATCTTTTTATTGGTTCCCGTATTATTAAATGATCTCTGAATACAACCTATACACTTAAGATCCAATGATTAGTTCATATATTCATAATGGTTGAAGACAGAATTTTCAGGTTTGAATTAAGGGTAATCATAAATATTTAAGGTGTCATTTGGCCTTGCATCTTATTTAATTTTAATTGTTTGTTTTTTAAACTTAGCTTTTCTTTGACTCATACAATATATTGATATATCATAGCGAAGAAAATCATAAATATTATATATCATGAATACCTAAGTACTATTAAATTTTAGACCAAACGTAAGCATTAAAAAAATTATATCACCTACTTTGTATGCCACTTTTATTGTCATTCTATAATTCGATATTCCCTTTATTATAAGTAACACTTAAATAAACACTGAATCAATATATGAAATGGTTAACTTATAAAATCATATTTTTAATTAATGTAATCCGAAGATACGAGAATCTTTATAAAAAAAATTACTTTGATTTTTAGTTGTGATTAATTCCACAAAACGCAGATGGTACGATCACGAATACTTGTTGCGTGATGTAAGAAGGCGACTTGTAGGAGATAACGTAATTGTAAATGCTTGTAGCTGTCTCTTCAATGTACAGCCTGAAATCAGGTCGATCCCAGCTAACTTGATATCAGAGGCAACAATGTTGGCTTACGTTTTAATAACCGAAAATAAATTCCTTATATATTCTCGGTAATTTAATTTAAGTACGTATTGATACAAATATGATTATTAATAAGATTCTGTCTATTTCGAGATTGTTTTTCAACTATGCGAAGGAGAAAACATTTTTTATAGATTTAAATTAACCGAATCATTAGTATTGAGAGTTGTATCAGAACATCGATACGTCCCCATGTATCTTTCGCTTAGATGCAGGTACCTGAGATGGAATGTCCAACACGCTGCTATAATGATGTTAAAACAAACTTTTAGGCTGTCATTAACACGGCTCGGACTCCAAATGGGGGAGGCCCATTATAAAAATTTGTCCCATCCGTTTCGGCCCAAATTTATGGTAATCGTGCCCCTTCGTTTTTCTTCCATCGAAATTTTATTGTCCCGTGATTTGAGTGGGATTTAGATAACGATGTTTTAGTATTGGTATTTGGTGTTTAATGATTTACATGAATGAGCTTGCGCGGCATCAGGCATGTCGAATCCTTTTCTTGTGTGAACTAAGAGTTATACATATGCCATACTGACTTTTCATTACGAAATTAAAGGAAGTTACATCTTAAATTTAGTTTGAGGTTACAAGACTCATAATAAATTTGATTGTTTATTTAATATTCACGAAAATAACTTTAAACTATATAGATTTAAGTTTCAATATATATCATTTGTGATTTTTGTTATACGACATCAATTCTCAATTTAAAAATATTTAAATAATTCCGAGAATTTCAGATTTACTATATAATGGAGTAAAATATTCGTAAATCAGGCTTAACATCATTAAATTGACATATTGCGAAAGCTGAGAACCGGTATTTATATTAAACATTCGTATATTGATTCGAGATTTAACAATTTATCAATCAGATTATAACAAAAAGCGTGAACGTAATACAGTAGCTGCCGTGTGCTAGTAATGTGCAGTATTTTATAGTCATGACCTGCGGTATGGTATACGCAAACGATAATCCAATGTGAAAACCTGCTCCACTTTGCTCTCAACGATTTAATTTTAAACCGTACAATATCACAAGGCTGGTACGTAGCCTTGCTGAGGTTATTTAAATTGGATTACACTCCTAATTAATGACATTTCAAAATGTAGCATGTTCGTTGTTTATACTTTTATATGTATCGACTTCTTATTGTGTTATCTTAAATAGTTTTTGCTTAGACACATATTGTTTATGTTTTTTCAGTTTAGTTGATCGTGTGTAGGAACGATGAGGTAAGTTTAGGTAAATGTTTGCGTGATAGGTAAGGTGCTGGTAAGTATTAGGTGGTACTTGGTAGGTAGGTTTAGATAAGTATGGTGAATCAATAGCTACATGAACCCATCACTGTTATCGCGCGGTCACTTTGATTGTTTCGTCGTGCGCTGTCCCAATGACAGAATGACGAATGGTCCGATTCAACTTAGATAACCAAAACTTGTCCCCCACTAGCCGCTTCGTGTCTTGTCACCGTCAAAAACAAATAAATTCTAATGATCGATCGTCAGAGATCCGTTCTGGAACCCTTTAAAATATCTGTTATCTCAGACTTAGACTGGTCAGTACCTACCTACCTGTTTCTGAACGATTTTAATGGTTGACCCTCAATTCTGATACTTAATTTATATTCGCTTTATGTTTATAACATATTTCATTCTCTATACACGCAAATACATCTAGGAATAGTGTTCTATGTTAGAAAGTAAACTAATTAAGACAGTGTCAGTGGCGATAATGAACCTCTTGAACTAATTTAAGATCTGCTCATAAAATGGATGTTTTACTCTGGGGAACAACACCGCGAAAGCTCATTTTGCATTATTTATCACTTGCGGTACACCAACAAGTGCAACGATCGCGTTCTAAAAATAGTATAACAAGATCATATTACGGCTATTATCACGAACGACTATTTATAATATGTTATGATGATCTACAAGATTTATAGCCTACTTTGATTGACATAATTATCTCATTTGACAATACATGTTTCTTAATTATCAATTTGCTTGTTGGAATAGTTGTACAATGTACATATTTGAAAATGTATTCACGCAAACATTTCGAATCTGGTTAATTTGTTTATTCAGGTGCCACTCGACAGCTTTTTTTTTTAAATAAATTTTTTTTGGTAATACATTCGCATTAGTTGATCTAATCGTTCGAGAATTTATCTCTGCATTGCAAATATAAAACATATTGAACACGGTTTGAGTAGATTAAGTGGTTAAATGTATTTGCAATTTGCGCAAGTTATGTGGAATATCAATAAGGCACTGGCCGTCAGTTGCCAATAAGAATGGAATGTTGGGAGTTCTAGTATTGTTGTAGTGTTGTGTTCTTATATCTGGCATCACTATTAATATAATAATACATTTAAAACTAAATATAGATGAGCATCCCATGTTATAAAATGTTTATATTTAAATATCTCATGTTTTATAAACACATAAATAAAGTGTTTCGATCAAAAACACGTAAATTAGTGGATACTTAGAGGTACTAAAGTTTTAATTTTATGTTTGTTTTTTAAAATCCGTGTGAAGAATTCACCCGGCTCACTTTCTCTATATTTATTCATCGGATTCTTTTTAATAGGTCAATGTACTATCAAACCATACGATGCGATCCAAATCTACATTTTGTAACATACCTATATTTGAATGTGTCTTAATATACATACGTAAAATAAAGTCAAGAGTTCCTAAATAAAGTGTGTCGTATCTTAAAATAAGAGCATATGATAATTATGTATACCTCAAAATCACATTGTATGAAAACTATTACAAAATCTTACTAAGAAAAATGGTGTCTTTACCAACGGTTTTATGATAAGAATGCTTCCTTTTTATTTCAATGAATCTCAAAGAAAATAAAAATGATTTCGGTTTGATTCTTAGTCTTTATTTTCAAACAATATACCTAATATAATAATAAAGATAATTTCATAATTTTATTGTAATTCACCTATTAAATATCAGTTGCCTTGCCACGCCATGCACTCGGGTACAAATGTATCACAGACACGTACAAGACAGATGTTTTGTAAATGTATTGTGCTTACAATGCGTGAAATCTCACAGATTCCTCAACAGTTAGCTGATCTCTAGACTCGATGGTCTTCAGCTATGTGGAGAGTGTATCAAGTAGTCGGGCTATCGAATGTTGGGGGCATTCCTTTTCAATTGAACCGCACGCGCGATGGAGGCGAGCGGCAGAATGTGGCTGCAATTTGACACCAACTGGTCTTCGGAGCAAGGTCGCTACTGAACTGCGCATACGCCCATGTATCACCATAACACATATTGAAGAAAGTTTAGCATTACTTACAACTATAAAAGATATATTATCGGACATTTCAATAACCTCATAAGTCACAAATACTTAAAAAATTGTATACGTTTTGTTTAAGAAATAATGTGAAATTTAAACTGCTTTTTTTGCCTGTTTTTTTAATGTTTTGTTTTTGTGGATATTTCTATGTATATATGTAATCAATAAACTTTTGAATATATTTAACTTCCTTATAGTTATCGATTACATACTTATTACTCAACATATATTCTGTTTAGGTAACTACTACTACCAAAAATATTGAGTTTCCAAACAAACAATTCGGTCATTGTGGAGATCAGTAAGTACTCTACTTAATAAATAAAAAAATTATTCTCACTAAATTTTAACGAATACCTACTACATATATTATTAACCTTTGCAATTAAAACACATACTTTTTTAAATAAAGAAGATTGTTTGTAATTATTAAATTTAAGGATATCTTCTCGAAAATATTTACCACACTGCGAGATTTAAAATCACATTAAGTGGTCTTGCATCCAGAGTAAGCGCGGTTAAATTAAGAAATCCTTTGAGGTAGGTAGCAAACAGCAAGACTAAAGATACATCTTATTTTTCGTTACCAAGGAAAGCAAAGTACTCAAAAAGACAATTTTACTAGTAAAACTTACTCAAAAAGTACAATTAAAAGTATAAAAAGGAATATTTTTACCAATAATATTCTATACTTTATTTTTATTATTTACCTAACTGCACCAGCTAGGTAATATTTGAGCATATTTATTGATTTTTATATAATCATTTAGCTACTATGTTCCCTTTTTATCAAATATTAATATGAAAAGAACTTCATGACCCAAAAGCCAAGAGATTAGATTCATGACAAGTTTGCCTAATAATAATGAAAACATTAAAATAAATTTAAAAAAAAAACTGAATTTAATATACAAAAAGCTATAATACTCATTTTTTTGATGTTATATTGTTTTATATTTCGATATGTGCAACATAGCAGTCATTTCTTACAAACTGTCAAATATTAAAGAAACTTTTTATAAAGTTTTAGGGTCCCAAATTGTCACTCAATAATTTTATTTTAGTTACAAAATTAAGTATGTTCTACAAAACTGCATATGTTTTTGGACAGTAATTGTTTTTGTCATAATTATAGTAATTACATATAAGCTGTATTTAATAAAACTTAAAGTCGCTCCGTACTTATAAATATTTATGTTAATAAGTTGTACCGCGCTAGTACATATCGGCTTGTTGATTTTATTGCAAAATTGAAACGCACCGCGGAGCTTAGGTATGTTGTGTTTGGTGAATATTATTAACTACGCCTCTTATATATAAAGCATACTATATTTACAGACGCTTAAGTGACAGCAGCTTTGTGATTACGAGGTAAGCATTACTTAATTATATAAACTACTCGATGAGACTATACAACTTAGATTTCGTGGTTTTAAGTGCTTTCCGTCCTGTGGTTTACAATATATATTTTTTTATTTAAAGTTACGTCCATTAAAGAAATTTTTAATAAGAACAAACTACCAAATGGTTTATGTAATACGTATTAAATGAATTTTGATCTCATGTATGTATATAGTAGTGTCAGTCGGTCAAGTTATAATAATTTACGATCGTAATCTCTACACTGGCTGGCAGACACGTTGTCGTTCTGTTTCATACAGGGACATTTGGCCTGTGCGGGTCGCGGCACCTGCAATATATGATAATGTCTAGATTTATGTGGATGAATTAAAATGAAATGTCACATAATTTAATCATCTCCCCGCACCTCGTACCCCTTCAACAGAGTAAACGTGGATGAATCACTTTGTTTTGCTGTTCGTTCTCAGAATCAATTAATAGTTATAATAATAAATTTATGTATTCAATAAAATAATAATTAAGAGTCGGTAGTCATACGAGACGTCGTATAAATTTTCTAATGTGAAACCTAGTGTAATGTGATACTGACATCGAACCGGTTGCTGATACACCTGCGAGATTCACGTCAACTCTGCTAATAGACCACTCAAATAATTAGCATTATGTCTTCTAATACCATCTAATAATTATATCATCGGCGCACAATTAAAATGGACTCAGCTAACAGAACGACCGTTTGACGGCTGTTTGAATTAAGAACACGACAATATTCGGTGAAATATCAAAAAAGGTTTTAAGCTGTGATGCACCTCTTTGCACCTTCGTTTGCAGCTTCATCATAATATGTCGCCTTCGCGTTGACTCTACCAAATAAGGGCAGGTCGTTGCACCGAGCTCTTTGTTTAAAAAAACACATGTCTCTTTTATACGTGTACGGAAAGCCAACTAAGGCTGAATAATGAGTCAAAAGACTACATTTGTATTTAAAGAATGCAAGGAATTGAAATCCTCGTCAGAGGTATATTAATTTACAGGTGGACGTTCTGTTCAACAAAGAAATACCATAGACACGTCTCAAATAAATAATAAATAAATTTCGACGTAATATTTATTAATATTCTTGGTTATATTCGTATAATTTTGATCGATCTGACCAGTTGTAACTTAATAGCCATGTAAAAAGTATGATTCACATAATAAAACGTCTGAATGTAACTTGAGATGGTGTTTATCTGGTAACGAAAATCGATATAGTCGTCTTTATGTATTGTGTATGTTTAAATGTTATTGATTTACAAATGTTAAAGGTTTATAATTCTGCTAATATATTCATAATTGTTACAAAGTCGGCTATTATTCGAGCATCAGTTGTATGCGGTGTCGAATGTCCTATCAGCACGGGGTCCGCCAGGTGTGTGCCTGTAACATTTACCATCCATCCACAAAGTTATAGATTACAATCGGAACCTGTTTATTTATTTTAAAAGTTGTAAATGACGCAAGTGTTTCTCTCAGGTACGGTAACACGATACGTGAGACACACTGACGCCGAGAACAGCCAACACCTGGAATGGTTAACTCATCGAATATTCACATCGACATTATGTATTCTGACATCGTATATACCTAGAACATAAATCTGTTTTAATCGTTACCAGATGTCGTCTTATCCTTGTTTTGCTTTTGTAATTTGTCGGCGAACGTTTGTACTCAGTAATGCGTAATATTGACGTAAATAAGTTTATGTGTGCAGCGACTAGGATGGGTCAAAGTGCTTCGCGTGGCACCCGATAAAGAACATTTCTGCTTTAATATTGAGGTCGACTTTAAATGTAAAAATCGAAGCAAATATAATAATACAATAATAGTATATACTTTGTCACCATGGTGAGGATTTTTTTATATTTAAATCGTATTTAAAAACTTTATTCAAATATCACATTGACAAGTCAAAAGTCAGGAAATTGACACTTGATTGGCTTATTATGTTTAATTATAGCTAAAATGAGCGTACTATCTGACATTGGAGAGTATTTTGCATAGCTCATAACGAAGGTCACTATTCATAGTAGTGGTTTGGATTACCATAATAATATTGATTCAGGCATTATATCGGTGGTAGCCGTATGTGTGAGGCCTCGGTATAACCAAGCGGCGCGGCGCCCTGTCGTCTACCAGCCTCTCATTATTCCCATCCGAATATGTACGATATTATCCTGCCGAATACGACCGAATACCGAAAGTTAACATTAAAATGCTTGGCTCGTAACAAACACGGCCATTCTCCTAGATTCAAAACATAATGTACTTGTACCGTACATTCTTTTAATTCCGTTTACATCACGAACCTGACCCTTCACAATGCTTATAAGGATTGTCAATGATTGCTACAGTTTACTTTGGCTGTTATATATTGTGTTCGTAATAGAGGAAACTTGTTTTGGACCCGGGAGTGGCTTGCATCATGTGTATTTTTTTTCCAATTAACATTTTAAGGAATCGGAAAAATCATGTCAGAATCAAACTAATATCATAAAAAAATGATACTATTTCCAATTAACAGATCGACATCCTTTTTTATCATAGTTTTTTGTGTGTACTAGTTGCCAAAACCAATTTTATAGTGTGTTAACTAATAAATCAACAATACGACACACAATTTTTTATAAATCGCTTCTTTCTTATTTTAGAACATCATTAGGTTCTTCAGGTATGAATCACGTATTATTACGGTAAAAACAAGATAAATAGAGTATAGATACACATATAAGTCAACTATATTTATAATCTCAATTGTATAACATAGCAAAAAGTTTTATTATTTAAGCAATATATGGGAAGTTTACAAAGAATACTTCTCTGACTCGCTACTTAATAGGTGGTGGATAAAACAAGCTATTGGGATGCCATTTATATGTGGCTCAGTTTTCCTGTTGTTGGGACCAGCGCCCGAGAATGAAGTGTAGCCACATTGCAAATTATCCACATCTCGTTTCTTTGGTATCGATCTTAATGTGTTTAATTTATTTGTAAGTGTAGCATTGTCACAATATTTTGTTCCAACAAAAACATTTCGAAGATGACTGACAGTTATTTTTCTTAACATTCCTAAGTGAAGTATAATTTTCCATTGGAATAACAGAATCATTATTTATTTTCCATGAGCTGTATCTTGTCTGTATTCTCGACGCGATGCGGTCACATACTTTATTTACTTACATTGCTCAACAAACGTACGTTGTAATTAGCCAGCCGAGGTAATCAATGTTGGACTACCAGCCGGGTTTGTTAGAGCTGGTGAGATTCTTTCAGCTTAGTTGTTTGTAGTATTCGCGGAAGCATGGCGTCCTTTCGTCTGCCTTCGCCGCACCTGCTTACCGCAGGCTATTTATAAACCAGACCATTCCTACTTGGATCCAAGTGTACTGTTACTTAAATTCGTATTATAATATGCTTCATGAATACTAAAATGTTGCATTCTAATGTTACGAATGCATTTTAGGTTGTAATTTATATATTAATATCAAATTTAATGTTATTTATGTAATTACTTTAAAACGAAGGAAAGAAAATATATTTCATGTATTGCGATAAATACAAATAACTATTTTCCTTTACTTCTATATCAATGAGTTAGAAAATTTAAAAAAGAGATTAAACTTAAAAAAATATGACTAAAAATTCATCTATCTCCAGCTTATTAATGAAATTTAAATATCATTGTATATAAGAACTTTTTTTAAAAATTTTAATGAACATTTATAAGTCCACAACAACGCATTTAATGTGTATAAGTAAAACATTACAGTCAGAGATGTAAATATGTTCGAGTATTTGATTTATATAGCAACAATTTGGGTGAACACGCGATAGTGTTTGGACAATATAGAAAAGTGTTCCGTTGCTTCTAAAAAGTTGGTCCGCGGTAGTTGATTAAATATTATTTTTAACGATCAGTACAGCCGCTGGGCCGTGTTTGCGGTATGTTCAACATGTTTACGTAACACGGCTAGGAGTTTACGTGGCTTGGGCAAATACACGGCTTCCGAACAGCTTGGCCCATGTTTGACCGTTTGATCATTTGCTCACAACATTTACAACTGTTAAGAACGTCACTAATGCTTTGTACAACTATAAAGGACATTAAGCGTCACTAATGCTTATACTTTGTCGTGATTATTTTTAATTAAACTTCGACGAAATGACGGCTTCATCTCTCATATACATAGTAAACAGTTACAGTCATTTATTTTCATAAATATAATGGATTTCGTATGAATTTACCTCTTCGATAGTGGCGATATAATATCATTATTTGGTTATATAGAGAAAAACACGTTCTGTAAGATACAATGTATGAAATCTCAAACTTTCCATTAACATAACTCAAATGCTTATCATATTGTACTAATAATCTTAATGTAGAGATTTACAGACGGCTGTAAAATACTTAAAAATGCATCACAATATAATAACTCCATACCTACAATATTTGTGGCAATAATTACTAATGAAAAGTAAGACTTACTAATTAGGTAAAGGATTACTTATTAAGTTTTACTTCAATGATATATTTTAATTATGGTCCGTCGGTGCAAAGGAATTTTATATCTATTGTAATATGTGTGTCTATAGGTCAATCGAGTTATCACGCAATGATTCGTACACAACGTTTAGTGCCAAAAGGGACGCGTCCTCTGTCCGAAGGTTGAATCAGAATCAGCATATAAAATCCACGTAAAAACCTGACAAGGTGAACTGTTAGAGTTTAGACAAAGGCATCGTACTGGTCTAATTATGGTTAGCAACGGAATGCCCCGCCGGCTATAGGTAATTGCTCGCCGATACGTTCATTGCCAACGGAGATTCATATCAAGATATCCGGATGTTATAAGTACCTATTCCACAAATTTAATTTACTTTTCATAGGTAACCGCTACTCGTGTTCCGTCTGTACCAATTAATGCGACCTGAAACATTTTCTCATTTATTTTATTTCACCGTGTACAAATTGTGAACCGTTGTTTTTATAATGATTTTTGAATTATTTTTATTAAAATAGAATTACCAAGGTAGATATGACCAGGCGTCATGTATGTAAAGGAACACAGAAATTTGTATTTTTTGTGTGGTTCAAATTCTCAATTACATAATGTACTTAAATATTAGTTTGAGAAATTTCCATTGGGGTACTTAAAATTATTTGAAGTAAATTATTCGCTATATTTATTCCATAAGTAGGTATATGTAAAAGAGTATACATGTATTTTAAGTAACCACAAGTGCAAGATATAGTACGATTTATGTTCTAACTTCTAACAGTAATGTTTAATTATTTGGTCAAAATAAATCCTACATATAATGACGCGTCCTAACACAATCATCATATCCATCGATGTTTTGATGTCATCGAAGCTTTCTTCGATGTCCAACGCATAATGATTATAAAAAAAAAAGAGTTACGTATGTGAATAGCGTTTAACAGTTAAACCAGCTTTCGTACGTAAGAACCGAAGCAATAGAGTATTCCGAGTTGGTTCGTAAACAGTTTGGTTTATTATTGACGGAGTGACGTGCAGTCGGCCTTCGCCCGCTGAGAGCAAAGGCTTGCTGCCAGCCTGCCACTTTCACTCTGCCATAGCGATGCAACCACGAAAATATGGATACGGCATACATCTATTATACACAATTTAATAGAAATTTACACAGAATTTGATGTAATTCATAGATGAATTCATGTAAAATATATATTATATAATAATGTATTCATTAAAACATAACTTAATAGAAATATATGAGTAATGATCAAGATATTAAGGAAAAATATTTTAAATGTCTCGCAAGCAACAATATTATGCTAATAAGGATAAAACAGAATATCTATCTAATTATTTGTTTCTTGATTTCATGTTCTGGAAAACGTTTCTTCCTTTAGTGAATAGTTTGATATTATTATAAAATATTTAATACAAATTGTCTTTATAATCAAATAAGGTATGCGTCTAGCTTGTATTAGGTACGCATTAAATTTGCGTTACTTGTATATTTTATGTAGAATATACATTTCAAAATTTATGTGTTAAGTGATATTTATCAATATATTAAATCAAAATATGTATATTTGTTGTGTTTCACGTGAATATGGCAACCAATAAATAATAATTTGCATATATTTATCCTATTTAAGGACGGGTATTAAATATTATATTTAATTATTTTAAAGGTTATTTATGTAAATTTGAATAAGTAATATTAAATTCGTGTTTTCATATATTAAAGATCTCTAACAGAGATATTTTTAGCTTGAAGCTTTTATTAGTATGTATCGTTTGAGTTATCCATACATGTACCCACAATACAGTCGAAATCAACAGACATACAGACGCCGAAGACAAGCAGTCCATAAACGTTCAAAGCACAACTAGTTTTAGAGATCAAAGTCCAATATTAATTACATTAATATATTCCAAACGCTCAAACAAGGTTCTTGTAAACATTTTAAACACGGCGCAGACATTACGTTCACCAGTAAAATAAGAATACTTACATATTCTTATTGTATAACTATACGGTAAAATATTTATTGTATAATAATGACATACGAATCGTTGTATCAGAATTTACATGGATATAGCAAATCATTTAAGTAACAGCGTGCATAGATCGTGCGTGTGCGCATTTCGAAACCGTTGCGCAATATAAGGTCGACGCCAAGGACGCGGGTTCGTTGCCAGAAATAAATTTCTGTTTACGTCTATCTAGTCGCTAGTGTATACTGGAGTTTGCCTAAGTTTTTGACAATCAAAATATAATTTCTTTTTACACATCTGCTACTAAGGGGAACAGTTATTTGTAAGTATTTTTGAGTCATATCTATAAAATGACACTAACTTTAGTAAATTTTATATATAATAAAAATGATTTTTACCATAGAATATTTTCTTGAAATTAATTCACCCTAAACATGTTAGAAAGTGGACTTATGTAATACATACATTGATAAATAAATTCGTAAGTTATGGTATGTTACATTCTATGTCCGTCTGGCAAATGGCGGAGAGCTCGGGTCAGCTGCTACATCGGACAGAGAATCTGTAGCCGGTTAAATATGTCGCCACCGTTATATCGCCACGACACGTGACCGACAAGTCGCATAACCTGCCACAATCATAACACTGATATATTTATAACACAACTATTAAACACAAACCCTCCACTTCTATAAAACCTAACTAAAACCTAATTTGATTAGTGTGTAGCATCTTCGAACATTTTTACTTTTAAATATGACGTAAACTTATCTCTTTATAGATATTTTCACACAGTCTAGTAGTATATTAATCGTTAATCTTGTATGTTAATTGATACAAGATATTGAATATATAAATGTGTTGGGCTCGCTGTGTTTAAAGATGGTAAGTACATTGGTGATTTTCTTTGGTCAAGTTAATGATAGGTTTCAATGGCGACATTAAACGGAATTTTCCGCTGATCGTCTAACGAATTACCTGATGTGATGACGCCCTTACGGTGAAAGTAGATTGTTATTGAGGTGCGTATTGAATAAGCACGTGGCGTGCGTGCGTGGCAAGCGAACGCCTATAATTTTGTTTTTTTTTTATTTGCTTACTTACCCCGGGCTTGGATTCAGCATAAATGGGTTCTGTATATTGATTATTCATTTTTTTTTATATATAGAAGACTATGAGTAAAATTATTCTACGCATTTAAACTAAAACCTGTAACAGAGTATCAGATAACATTGTAATTATAATAAAGATGTAGGCAGCCATATATCATCTGAGGTCAAAAGGATAACAATTTAAATGTCGTGTAATTTTTCGTTAACACGCTCGTATATGAAAAGTATTAATATTTTTTTTATTCTCTATAGTAAACCTGTTTTGACAATTTTGAAGTGTCTGTAAAAGATAAATTGATATAACATATACATGTTATGGAACGTATATTGTCTCTTCTTAAAAAAAAATACGTAAAAAAGTAATAGAATCTAAAACGACATATTTGGTGAAATATTTCAAAATAATACACAATATAATAAACTAAGATCATAGTATGTGTTGTTTTATGTAAAATTTCTATTGTAAGTCTCGTTAAAAACTAAAATAAACACGTAAACAGCGTGACCATATTTATCATGTATTTTCCTATTTATCTACAACTCAAATGAATCTTGAATAAAAATACTACGAAGACCTGTTTATTAAGAAAAATGCACTAGACGTCTCAATTATTCAAATTGAACAGCATTCTTTATGCATTCATAAAGTGTTTAAAATTTTAAATAACAAATCAAGTCTGGCAATATAAAACCTATCTAAGATGATATCGAAAAACTTCTGATCAACTGATTTTCATATTTGAAATAAGTAAGGATTGTCTAGCTTTATTTAATCCATATTTTAACTAAGAGTAATAAAGTAATTCAAAGAAAAACCAGTTTAATTTGTGCATACTTGGAATATTTTAAGAGGAGTTTTGAGTTCGATGGCCGCGCTCGTCTCTGCCCCGCGCTTTATAATACGCGAGTGACAACTAATTATGCATTACACACATAGGATTATGAACGAAACATTAAAAGCATTACTACGGTTGGATTCAAAGAAATTTTAATAGTCTTCTTCGAATAAACACCTCATCTGTTCAAAGTAACATTCCCCCAACTTGTATATATGTATGATTGTATCTGATGCTTAATGGAAATGAAAACGCTAACACAATAAACGTATAAAATTTCAAGATATAAAAACTGTATGCCAAAACCATAAATTTAATTTAATTCACGTGTAAAATTCTTTCGAGGGTCTTATCGGTATTCCTACTTATTTATTTTAATTTGTGCAACAATGTTGTCGGTTGTGACAGCTATAATGTATTGTAGTATATGTATTGTACGGTATTTAACTGATCAGTTCCGAAGGTCTAAGCTGGAGCTTACCCTCTACGGTTCATTTGTAGCTTTTTGTGAGTAGAGAATGCGAGTCGTCAGACTTTAGTCTGGTCTGTAAGACCAACAGCGCGGGGGGCCGTACCTCGCCCTTTTGTTTTTATACCCGTGCAAGAATGCAAAACAATTATAACTCCCTCGGGGATAAGTCGCCGCGCTCATCGAGAATCGAGACTAGTGTAATAGCGGCTTTCTTCCACAGCAATCATATTTGTAATGCGGTTACGAAAAATATAGGCTAAATTGAATGAGACTAGATTACCGCGAAATGTGCTCACCACACAAAAGTGAAACGGCTAATCATATGGTCTCGGTGGGACAAGGACGTAAGAACAATCAGAGACCGACTTCGGCCAATCCATTTACGTTAATTACGCCGAGATGGGGATAAATCGGCGTCCAGCCGTCCACCGCCGAGTTACGAGCGAGCCGACTATAAAATAAATTATACCCACTTCGTTCGCCTCCACTCAGTTTTTTGTTAGTCGTTCGAGGTAGAAAAAAAACAAAAGCAATTCCTCGAGAGGACGAAATACGAGGCAAAGACAAAACTTAAATTTATCTACTGATAATATAGACGTAGGGCGAGCTCGCCAGACGCGGAGTTGCCGGGTGGCCAGTGGCCGGCCAAATTATACTGGCGGGCATTCCTACGTCCCGAGCAAAAACATGATATATCGCCGGCTTGTGACGAAATATTTGAAATTTGGAGACCTGCCACACTTTAAATGGAATTCACTTTAAATATTATCCGAAACATTCCTTTTCAACGACTTTATAAACGATTGCGGAAAATTAATATTACTTACATTTTTATGCTATTTCAAATTTATGTTCGTATATTAATTTTTAAAAGTTTTTTTACGTATATAAAGATTAATGTAGTTTCAAATTCTATGTTATCTGAATGTAAATGAAAGAACTGTAAACTTCATTTAAACAACGTACCTAAGAGTAGGTATGGTGTTTATAATATTTGGGTTAATTTCTTGGAACGGCCAATGTTTTGGCGGACTAGGAACAATAAGCCGTTCAGAAGTTTGTCTGGCAATTTTAATTGCTTTCACCTTAGTAATGTAATGAGTTCAAAAATTTACACTACATCTATAAGTATAAATATTTTGCATTGTAAGTTATTACCATTTTAAATCTTCAATCGTCAATTACTGACTAAATTGATGAATATTTTTAAATAGATCTACTCGTCTCTCGGAAATCAAATATATTCCATGATAATTGACTCTAGATATTCTTAAATAAAAAAAAACATCTTTAAAATATCAAATTAAATAATAATACATATTTAATATTTATATCTTTTATTACATCATTATTCTTTCAATAAAATAATAATTACAAGATTATATATACAAATACATTATTTACATTTGTCGAGGCCACAACTATATATACACTGGGTCCACGATTTATCACTATGTCCGCTCGAGGGCCGGGCGCCTTCGTCATCGGCAACCACAGCCCACAACCATCATATCTTGATAATTTTTAAGCACCACATTGTTCACTTCGTCCATATATAACATTGATATAGATGAGAGTTGCGTGGGAACACAGCACGCTTTAGGCACAGCCGCTGGGTTCACTGAATTGACCAGAGTTTGAACGATAGCATGATTTGTACCGTTCAGGTGATCAGCTAGCGGGAACGGACAGTCGCCCTGGCAATAGTACGCGTCGTACCCGTGAGGGGCGACGATCCAATCACTCCAGCCGACGTCCGCGAAATCCACGAACAATGGCCGTCGCTGGCAGATCTCTCTCGCCTCCTTGCGTCTGTGGTGCGCGCGGTGGCCTCTCCTCTGAGCCGCGCGCTTGTTCCTCGTCAACTTCGTTTCTCCACGTTCTCTGGCAGCCCTCGCTCGCTCGTCCTCCGTATAAAGCATCAACAACGGCTGTAAAGCCCGCCACTCCTCATCACCGTCCGTCGCACGTCTCCTCACACGCACATGTGGAAACTTAGCGTCCGTACTACCCGACCCCTCCTCTAAAACACGCACTAGAAGTCCATGATTATGTTTAGGCTCCTTGAGCCATCTCCGCGCAGCTCCGAGAGCGTCCGCATTCACCGTCCCCTCGGCAGGTTTGAGCGGTATAGAGTCCAGTAACCTCAGTATGGGTTCGCTCTTACCCTTCCGCCCGGGTCTGACCACGTCGTATAACAACAGTCTCTGATTGCCGGTCGTCCCAACAGCCCTCTGGAACGTGAGCTCCGCGCCCCTCGCGACCTCATCCGTGGGGACGCCGCTTATGTTGAAGTACAGACGGAAGCGATGCTCGCCGGGGAAGCGGTGGTCCAGCTCGGTGTGAGTGTGGTAGAAGGAGCGGGCGGTGTTGGCGGCGGCCGCGGGTATGGAGCCCTCGTACAGCAGGCGCATGGCTCGAGGCACGGGCGGCGGCGGGCGGTGTGTGTGCGGCGGCCGGTGGGGCAGCCCCAGGAGCGCCAGCAGCTGCCTCTCGGCGGCCGCGCGGGTCCCCTCGTCCAGCCCCGAGGCCGCGCACAACGCGACCAACGCGCACACCACCGCGCACGCGCACGCCCCACGCATAATTCTCCACGACCCACCTGTTGACAACACAATCATCATTAGACCACCACATAAACATATACTTATTATAGGAACCTTGACAATAGTTAACTTCCCGTCTGTCATATAATTGAATTACCTAACAATTTCTACTAGTAGTGAAAGAAAGATTTTATACCACAGTATCTCAGCGATTTTTCTCTTTAATATAGTCTAATTTCCAGAAGGCGAGTTTTATTCTTATAACACATTACATACAACAAAGCTCCACATTGTACGCGACCGGTAGTAGATTGATATTTTATCTTATTTCTCATTACAGACAAATAAACCGTCGTACACATTGTAATAATATTAAAATAATGAATTAAATATATTAATTAATTTCTCTATAAATATAAATTTAACAAACAATACAATGTATTTAAGTAAACACATAATTAATAATTCAGTGTACAACAGATCGACAACCTGTGAATTAATAAGCGATGACATTACAATTACATCATACTTTATCTTTTGCTCGGTTCATCTAGATCATACCTTATATGGTCATTTAGCTGACAATTATTCCGTTTACGTACAAACAATAGAATATATTGATACTAACATTGTTTATACTTTAAAAAGTTTACTCTAACTGACTCTATCACAATGAGTTAATAACTTAGTTCGTTGCAATATTGATTTTAGTAAAACTGTAACTGACTCTAATATTATCATAATGAGTTATATGTTGAAGTTATAAGGATTTATTTGAGTAATGTTGACATATATTTTATTGTAAGGAGGTTTTAATATAATAATATACATTATTAAGCATTCGAATTTTTGTCCTAACTATTGGTTGACTTATAGATAAATGCGTCTTTTTTTTCAACGATATTTAAGTTTGTTAATTAATATATATTTTTATGTATTAGATTATTGAATAAAATTTAGATTTCTACGAATATAATACTAAAATATTATTTTTATTTAGTTAGTAAATATTAGTAAATAAACGAATAATTTTAATTCTATTTGAATCGTAGAGACATAAAACAAATGCTTGTATACAACGATATTAGACAAATTGTGCACCTACAACGTGTTAGAGGCGACGTTCCTATGTTAAGACTTAAATTTATAATATATTGAACTGTCTAAACATTAGGTGATCATTCTGAAAAGCAGAAGATAATTTTTGATGTGATATTAAGAGCACTTTCGAACATTCTTAAGTAAAAGACATCAACGAGTCACAAAACATCGGTCACGGTTAAAACATACAAAATTTACAGCAACTGTTAACATATACATATAAATATATAAATAAATATATGTATCATTAAATTTAATATAACTTAATATATATGAGATTATATATATACATGAATTAGAACTCTATTCCGATGTTAATAAAGCTCTACATTAATAAGTTGCTTAGTTAAATACATATTATCGAAGTTGTTTGATGTAAAATGTTTATTAAATACATATATAATATTGTTTTGATACGAGACCGGATCACGAACGTAAATGCGGTCACACAAGCCTCTCTCTCACTCACCAAAAATTTAAAACGCATCCAACGTAGTAACAGTAATGTATCCTTTGTATAAATACGTGAAGTATCAACGTATAAATACGTGAAGTATCAACGTTTTGGTAACAACGGAACACGTAAACACGAGCCGCACATGACTGAAGGTAGCATCACTTTACGTTAACGAAGACTCAAACCTCCAATATTATAATAACTAACATTACGTGCGCGCGGCTCAACGTCCGCGCTCGGAATGAGACTGGTCGCTCCAGACGTCGCGGCGTCGTGGGCGTCGTGGGCGTCGTGGTCGTGGTCGTGATCGTGATCGTGGTCGCCCCGCCCCCCGCCCTTAACTAAGCCTACCGTAGTCAGATATACTTATCGCCTCAATAGTATTTTTCTTTACGTTATGTATTTCATATTGTTAAGAATTTATTGCATATACTTTTTGCCGGGATTTACCTATATATTTTTTATTTTATTTACATAGTTAATTGTATTTTATTTTTGTATATGTAAAGAGTTGTATTAGAAATTTTATATCGTCTATTAATTTTTTTGTCGTCTGTTCTATTTTATATTCATATTTTTTTTAATTTGTAAATTAATAAAAAGTTAGACTTGAAATAGAATTTTAAATTTTTTTTGTAATATATATTAATTTTACATAAGACCTATTTTTTTGCCAAAAACTTGTAATAATTTATATTCTTTATAAATATCTCTAAATTATATTTTTTATGTATTGAAGCACATATTAATTCAAACAATTGAATCAGTTGTGAATTAGTTCCTATTTTAATTGCAATTTAGGTGAAGTAATATTATAAGAAGTATGTAATACTTATTAATTAATATCTTAAGTAGATATCAGCATATTACATGATTTTACTTAAAATTTTTATTTTACTTTTAATTTAAATACTTAAAATGTCATGAAATGGTCCTTTTTTATTTTATGTCATGTCTATTTACAATAAAATAATTTTTTCCTATACTTTTAAAGTCTTTTTTTATAAATTAAAGAAAATTAATTACAATGAAAACCAAAAAAACAACTAGTAAATGTACTTTCATTACAATGTATGTGTTTCCATTTTTGCTATATATATTAATTTATCACATATAAAATATTTCCAAAAATATATACATACATATAAATTATTCAATAAATATTTTTTTTAATATTTTATTTTTCATTATAATTATTTCTAAATTCAAATTTAAAAAAACCGAAATCTAAATAAAATAATTTTTGGACGTATCCAAAAAATCCTTACCTTTATACGACAAACAAAAAAAAAAATGAAACGTCAGAATCCAATGGTCCGCACTGAACACGATATCTCACTATTAGGACGGTGTTATATTAAAGGCACACTGAATTACTGAGCTCGTCTTAAACAAATATGTAATTATAAAGCTAGACTTCGCGGCCCCGGCGCTTCTGAGCGGGGTGGGAGAACGAGATGCGCCATTTAAGCATTGTTTTCAAACTCCCCACCGTGATAACCCCATCAAAAGGGAAGATTCGTTTTGTTAACAGCTAATGAATAGCAAGCTGAAATAGTAAGGGACAGATATAGTCTATTGTACATTATTAATTTTTCGTTTAGGAATTCGTATATATATTTTTTTGACAGTAATATAGATACATTTTAAATTTTGCGTGTCTATCAATGTAGCAATGTTAGTTTGTAATCTTTTTTTTTTTGTGAATATTTAGATACGAGAATTATATGGACCATATTACGACAGTTCAATTAATATATTAAATTATATTTATTTCAATATATTAATTAATAAAGTATTATTGTTTAATATATTCAAGTTGTGACAAGCCTGTGATAGTGAAGTCATTCCGTTGCAACCGTTATTTGTTTTTTCCACAAAACTATTACTCACACCCCGATAAGGGCAACAAAAGTTTTTAAATTTTTATCTCATAATACATTCCCTTTAAATGTAATACCTTTGTTGTTAATATTTTCACGTCGCAACTTTAAATTTTGACGCTTTTTAATCTTATATTTTTAAACAGATGGCTAATAGTCCAGTGATTTGGTAGTTTTGCCTGGAAAGTTTTACGTGGTGTTTAAAAAATTTATAGATTTCGGAATCTAAATCTATAAATCTAAATCTATCTATAAATGTTTTAATCCACCAATTTTCGAAACTTTCCAGGTAACCCCAAAAAAGGGGGGGTTTTTCATCAAATGACTGGACTACAAAATGATAAGCGATTTTGAAGGGATACATATAGCATATTATTTTTTATACTTGTTCATTATTATTGATATATATATATATATATATATAGAGTTAAAATGTTATACCATCAGGTGGGTTATTGTATTTTGATTATGATCTACAAGTTACAACACATGCACGTGCTCCAATACGTAGCATCGAGTTCACAATACGGTTCATAAAAAATTCATAACATATACTTAAATGTTATTGTTACAATTTTTATATAAATTATGACATAATAATATATTTTTTCCTTTTAGAACATCTGTCATATTTTTCTTAATTATCTTATAATCAAATTAATGTGTATTTGATATAACTTATGTTTTTTTAACAATTGAATTTTAAATTTTTATATTTTTTTTTAAACTCAGCATATATGCAAATAGATATTATAATATTTTTATGATATATTTCTTAAAGTATGTCTATAATAAGGGAGAGTAACAAAAATATTTTTGCATTAGGCATATGTTTTTAATTTACAAAATTTTCTATGGTTACGTCACATTTTCTATAAATTTATTGTAGAACATTAATAGAAAAATCTGTTTTCTTTTGGTATAATCTTTTTTATGTATTTTGGAGTTGACGGTCTAGGATATTTTATGCAAAAAATATTAAAAGAAATAAAACAGGAAGGTTAAAGGTTCGTATGGTTATAATGTGAAAATGCCTATGATCTCTCATTAAATCAACTTTAATTGATCGTAAATAATATTCTTAGTAACCAGTCCCGTAAATATCTACGTTTATTTATAACTTGAATTACATACATTATTAGATATTCATAGAAAACTTTCTATGCAGCTAAGATCTCATAAAAATTTTCATCTAAAAGCGACTCGTGCGCACTGACAACAAATCCTTTATGTGCCAAAAATGATAAGATTCGACAAAATTTTTGTTAAAAATGAATAAAATATACAGGCAAAGTCGGTGTATATAGCTAGTTTAAATGAAATCCCATTAAATGAGTTAGTTTTGTTATCATTACAGCCGGCTACCGAAGCCGTTACGCGCGTATAAACTGTTGCTCTTGTTTCTTAATATATATTTTTTTTTGGCTCGTGTCTTTCCGATCCGTTATACGAGCAGCCAGCGAAAGTTAGATGTTCGGATTTTTATACCTGTTTTTTACTCGTGGTTATAGAATTTTGGTTACTTATAACAAACTCGATATCCGCTGAATCATCGCGCAGATAACGAATGTTTAATGATTCTCATGTATGTACGCTTTTCATGGTATTCTTTTTTTTTGTATTAATTGCCAAATATTTGGCGAAAGTGACTTTGTCTGTTTGTCTGTTTAGATTTCACGACTGAGATTCCTGAGCGGTTTTATTAAAATTTGTGGATAAAACCTCTGAAGACAAAAGCTACTTGGCTAGCCAGGGAAGATTAACTCGTATTTTCTATCAACGATAATAATTAATTTAAAATTTAATAGGTAATATTGCTTGTGAATACATTAAGAAGCTTTCAACTTGGTCCATACGCATTTTAATAGATTTTAATTTCTTACTTTCTGAATATGATAGAGTAACTTATATACACATGATAAAAAACCTGTAATACCACGTGGTTCAAGTACATTTAAAATCAATATTTGTAAGATTCAGAGCAGAGGTAAGATCACGTAAACTTGGAATATTTGTTTTAACATTGATACCTATCAAAGTTTATTGTACGTATATATTTTTAGCTGTAATAAAATTTGTTTTTCAAGTAAATTAAAAGTCACTGATGGTTATTGAATTATTTGAAATAAAAATTTTCGTAACTCAAAACCACTATGAAAATAAAACAAATTGCGCCAATAGCCGGAATTGTTTCGGATTGGTGTCTTGTTACTTATAATCTTTAGTTAATTTTCTACTAAGAATCTCTGATTATTTCTGTTTAACATCTTTATAGAATGTAAATCTTATTGTATTATTTGTTTTAGTATTATTTGTATATTAATTATTAACATATAACTAAGAAAAAAACCTATTTTACCTCAAGTATACCTGACGGGAGTGGATTCAATGTTTTAAAGTGTGAACTTAATTTTTTTATTATCATATGCCTATCACCTTTATTTATTTCACTTTCAAAATGTAACAAAAGAGGTTTCTATAAATGTATATGTTAATACTTAACACATTATATTGTTTTTTTTAAGGTGGTTAATGATCCAAGGACTAGTTTGAAGATTTTACACGTTTATGGGACTTGAACTCAGAACTAGATATAGATAGATACCTAGGTATAGTTTAATCCAATAATTTGAAGAGCATCTAAAACATTTGTATTATGTAGTTAACAGTCTTTGACTTTATTAATCTTGAATTTATATCGATAAAAAAAAGAACCCACTTACATAACCTATGGCACATCTTCTTCTACCTGGCAATTTCCCAGCTATAGCCAGGGTCTGCCTTACATGCTATGAATAGTTTTTGGCTATTTGTTTTTACGACCGGCCGCCTGCCTGACATCAACCCTCTTTTTGGGAATCAACATTAATCAGTGATGTCTAAATACTCTTAGAAAGTACATATGATTAAGAAAAATCACATTGGTACTTGCCCGGGTCAGGATCGAACCCGCGCCCTCGGCGACGAGAGGCCGAGAGGCGGGCCCTATAACCACTGAGCCACCACTGACTCATATAAAGATATATTTTATTTTGATGCTAAATATATGTCTTTTTTGAAACATAAGGATATGATAAAATCCCCACAACCTTATATAATATTCCACCCATACATTTCCGTGTATGATAGTATTCTTCATTTTACAGTAAGTACATACGTGTTGGAGCCATGCCGTCTGCCTCCCACGTTACGTTACTCACCAATTCTCTCATGTACGTAATTAGCCCATTAGCACGCACGAGCAAGTCAAATGCTCAATTAGATCAACGACCGTCGGGAATGGCTGACAGGATTACATTCCCCGGTTTCAATGAAACGCTGGATCATATCTAACAATTGACAGATATTTTCAACCACTGATAACAGCTTACTGATGATAATAATTGAATCTAGTTGCTGAAATGCCAGCTTAACGGCCACCCTAAGCCATTTTCCATTCATCCTGACAGCCGTTCGGCTAATGC